TATGTGTATGTAAATTTTGTGTATGAATGTGTGTTTATGTATGTGTGTGTATATGTATATATGTGTGTATATAAATGTATGTATATGAATATATGTGTATGTATATATATGTATATAAATTTATGTGTATATGTATAATTATGTGCATATGTGTAATATATGTATGTGTATGTAAATTTATGTGTGTATATATGTGTATGAATGTGTGTTTATGTATGTGTATATGTGTATGTATATATATGTCTATATGTAAATGTATATATGTATGTCTATATATATATAAATTTATGTGTATATGTGTATGTGAATATACGTATATGTGTGTATATGTATAATATATTTTTTATATTTTTTTTAAATTTAAAAAAAAATATTTGCGACGGATTTTTCTGTCGCAAATCCGTAGTAAACGTAGATTTTTTTATTTTTTAAAAAATATTAAAAAAGATATTTGCGACAGATTTTTCTGTCGCAAAACTCGGATTTTGTCCATCGCAACTTTGCGACAGATTAACGATCGGCAAACTTTTGCGACAACAATTTACGGACAGAAATGATTATGTCGCAATCTGTCGCAAATTTGTAATTGCGACAGATATTCTTTTGTATTTGCGACAGATTTTTCTGTCGCAAATTTTAATGTTTCTTGTAGTGTTAGTACAACAAACATTATACATATATTCGTACCTATCAATATGCATATTAAAAAGAAAATAGCAAAAAAAATACATCAATTTGGTTAAAATTGATATATATATACATCAATTTGTAAACTTACTAATTAATACATCACATTGTATTTTTTTTGGCAAATTCCTACAAAAGACGACGCTGACGTCGTTACGGGTTTAAATTTTTCCGTCAGAAAACGATGACGTGGATATGCGAATTTTGTCATGTAAACGTCTAGTCAGAAATGCACTAATCCAAAAATAACACTCAGTTTAAATAATAACCAAACTGATTGTTAACCATATGGATATGTATGCACATATACGTACAAAATCAATTTCAACACAATAAAAAATCTAATAAAAATCTAAAATACTTTTAGATATTCGATTTCTCTTCCACTTAAATTGATTGATAAGCAATATTCCATTTAATGTGTATATATATATATATATAAATATAGTTCGTCGTAGACTCGTAGTATTCTGGGCAATTTTTCGTGCAAGAAAAATAAAATAAAAATAAGTGTCGGTAGTCTCCAACAGCCCTTCCAAGATTCCGACCAGTTTTCCGACCGGAACCGGCAACGAGTTTTCGAGGTTGTACACACGGAGCTGCGCGGGTCCCTTCTTCTTCCCGCCGCTTCTGGTGCCTTCCTCGGAGAATGGGTTCTCTGTGTTGAGGCCATAGACGGAGCTCGAAGAAGCCCAGACAATGGCGGGTTGAGGGTTCGCCGTCTTCGCGACCTCGAGGAGGTTGACGAATGAAGCGATGTTGGAGCTCACATAGGACTGTGGGTTCTTCATGGCGTAGCGAACACCGGCCTGAGCCGCGATGTGGAGGACATTGGTGAAGGGGACAACGTCGAAGAGCTTGGTCAAGAGTGGACAATCGTTCAGATCTCCTTCAACGATGAACACCTGGTGTTTCTCCATGTGATTTTGCCTTGCTCGCTTGAGTGATGGGTTGAAATTGTCCAGACCCAGAACTCCATCGTCGCGTTTCTTCAGGGAATATTACTCAAATAACCCACTTGGGTCGCAGCAATTTCAGTGTACACCACACCACCGAAAAAAAAAAAAAATTTGCGACCTTATTACGACTAATATATAACTAATATACAACTAAAATAAGAGTAGTTTATTAGTCGTAATAAGTTGTATATTAGTTATATATTAGTCGTAATAAGGTCGCAAATTTTTTTTTTTTTTCGGTGGTGTACCCTGAAATTGCTGCGACCCAAGTGGGTTATTAGGGTTAAAACCCCGTTTCTTCAACGCGACCGAGCAGTGAGAGCCGACGAAGCCAGCGGCTCCGGTGATGAGGACGGAGAAGCCATTGGCCGACGAGGCGAAATGGACTTCTGAAGCACCTCCGACGAAATCTACGGCAAAATCCGATGAAATCAACAGTGAAACGGACTTTCGAAACACCTCCGAAGATGATATCAGACCCTTACCTTCCTCCGGTGAAATGGAAGGTCCTTATAAGCCCACCGAAATTGATTGTGAAACACCTCCTACGAAGTCGACGGTGAAGCCCTCCTGACGGTGAAACCCTAATCGCGATTTCAACCTCTTTCGATTTTTTACTTTTTCAGATCGTGTTGAAATGTCACGGCTGAAGTAAAAGTATAAGTTCCATTTTCGTTAGGTTAAAATGTTCCAAACCGCATGAATTCATTTCGGTTTAAATTGATAAACCGAGTTCTGATGTGTCAATATAATCCTATCTGTATCTACAGATAAAAACAATCCAGGTTAGCAATTTTTAACGACAAACATTACCGTCAAAGTCTTTGTAGGAATTTACCAAAAAAATACAATGTGATGTATTAATTGGCAAGTTTACAAATTGATGTATGTATGTATCAATTTTAACCAAATTGATGTATTTTTTGCTATTCTCCCATATTTAATTATGATACGAATATTCGAGTTCAGGATTGATTAGAGAATATCATGAGTTTGGGTATTAATCTTTCAAAATTAAAAAGTTCAGTTTCTTTTTTCTATTTTTCTAATATAATATAATAATCGATTGATAATTATTTATATAAAACTGAAAAAATCGAACCGAAACATTTTCGACACAAATCCGAATCGAATACCGAAACACCCACACTTAATTATTGACATTTTCCGTAATGTTTTATTATTGAGCCTAACGAACGGCTCTTAAATGTTACTCTTTTGCCCTTAATCATTTCCTCTAATTTTAAAAATAAATTAATGAAGATTTCGAGGACACCGAAGATAGGGCATTGGGCCTTGGGGGTTGGGCCGTGAGCCTTAACGTGATAATGAAATAAGTTGAATCGATAAACTTAACGAGTTTTGACCAAAATTAAAGGCCACTCCCATCTCTCGTTCGCCCGAGGAGAAGAAAAAGAGAAACAACGAAAACCTAATTAGGGTTTGACAATGGCGGAGAAGATAGTGTCGGCGTCGGAGTTCGATGTGATCCCACCGCCGAAGAAGATTCGGAAAGTGGATGGAGAAGACTGCGACAACTCGGAATCGGAGATGGATTCGGGGGCCGATGAGTTCCTCCCGCCGCCTCCGCCGCCGCCGGCGCCGCCGACGGTTCGGACGGTGAACGACGAAGACATACCCGAAAGCGAAATCTCGGAATACTCACACTCTTGCACAACGAAATACTACATCTTCGGAAATCGAATATTCCGCAACGACATTTTACCAGAGGCAGAGGAAGAGTATGAGCCCCAATACCAGCGTTTTTGCTACCTAAATCATCGGTCTCAGGTAATATTTTTAAATATTATGCGTGGAACCTTGTGTTTACATATATATATGTGAATGAATTTCGTCTTGGATTTGGAGGGTTCTGGATTAATCCGTAAATGGGATGGATCCCGTTTGGTTGAAATTGAGTTGTTTAACGGATTAATTTCGTGAATTTCGTATAGTGTTTATCTGTTAAATGGAACGAACAATGTTGTATGGCCACTTAAACCATGTCTTCCTTGTATTTAGGGTTTCGAGATTAACTGGGATGAGTTCGATTTCATGTTTGGTACTCAATCTGTTGCGTGGTGCACAAGCCGTCTGGTGACCAAGATGAGCAACGACGAGCTGATTGAATATTTGACGCGCTATGCCATCGACAAGCACAACAATGAGTCGGAACAGAAAACGAATCTGGTGTACGTGGGGCCTGTCATGGCTAATTTCTTGTGTGCCGCAGGCTACGTGTTCTTCATAACATTCCGAGCGAGAGATGTGCTGTCTCCGGATCCCGAGCCCAAACTCTATCAGACAAAGGTGCGCAAGTTTGCAGCTTTGATCGATGTTACGATTTTCAGACCACGGCCATCGGATGAAGGTATGGAGTAGTATTCTCCGTCCCATGTGGTGTTAGAATAGAAGTGTTCTGTCTTGTTGCCTAATGTTTTGTTTGAAGATGGTGATGCAGAGATGACTTGTGCCAAAGTGGATCCTCCCGCTCCCGCTCCCGCTCCATGACATGACATGACAGGCGTTAATTGGCATAACTTTATGTGTGGATTATAACGTTAGATATGATATGTTATATATATTCTGTCTCTGCATCGAGCTTGTTGTTTGCTTGACAAGTTCATATCTTTGCGGATTGGTTCTTCCTGGGTTTCTGAGTTGTTCATTTCTCCCTGGGTTTTGTTTAATTAGTTCAGCTACTCCTAATCTTTAATTTCTAGGGTTTCAACCTAAATAAAGTTCTGTCTTCGGTTTTCATTTATGATGACTCCGTCTGTAATAAACAAAAAAAATCAAATTTAATAACCCGGTTTAAATTTTCGGTTAACTCTAAACCAAAGTTTGGTTTTTTTTTTTTTGACGTAGCATTACAGAAAAAAGTTTCGCATGTCACGTTGACACATTCGTAAGCCACATCAGTTCGAATTGTTTAACATTGCACTCTTAAATAGTTTAGATATTATTTTTGAAAATTTTAAATAGTTTAATGTTTTTTACTCTTTAAAAAATTTCAGTTTTTTTTTACATTGAAATTTTCGATGTTTTTTATTTTTGGAATTTCTCCTATCTTTGTCATAAAAAAAGTATTATATGAAATAAAATCAAATCTAATATAAAAATAAAATATAGATAGATTTTTAAAAACTGAATAAACCAAATCAAAATATATCGAACCGAAAATTAAAATATCCACCCCTATCCATCTCAAATTGTATATCTCATCGCGTGATCTCATATTCATGGTATTGAGTAATTGAACTCGGATATTTGCGAGATAATATTCGGCTAATTACAAATACATCGAATCCAAATACAACAACTCATTCATGCATATGTCGAACACGAGGTGCAACAGTCCAAGCAAGATCGTTTGTGAATACCTCAAGTGATCTTTATACTCCTCATTGGTCATCGATATCACGGTTGTCAGTACCGGTCATCTCCATACTCACTCCATACATCGATCCTCGATGTCGCCGACTGTCGCTCGAAGCAGCTCTATGTTAACTCCCCCTTGCCGACCATCTGCCTCGGAAAATATTCATCAGACTCGCACTCAAATCTTTTAGAGTATATCCGTTAGGGGTGGGCAAAAGCAAAAATCCCCGGATTCCGAGTACCCGCCCCGACCCGAAGGTCGGGTACTCGAAAATTCGGGTATCCGAGCGAATGAGACATGAGATCGGGTATTGGTATTAGAATACCCGAATTTTCGGGTTCGGGTTCGGGTAATGGTTATTATCTCACGGATACCCTCGGGTACCCAGATAATAAAAAAATATGTTTTAAAATTTAGATTTTTTATTAGATTTTATGTTATTTTATTTAATATTAATGATTATATAGATATTATTGGGATATATCTTTGATGTATTTTTTTAAAATAAAGTTATTTTAGATATAAATACAATTTAAATTTATTTTGAATGATTTTGTGTATGTATATATAAATATATTTAAAAATAATAATTGAAAAAATTACAAATATTCGGGTTCGGGTACCCTCGGGTACCCGGAAATTATCTCACGGATTTTCGAATTCGGGTACTCGATTTTACGGGTATGAGATCGGGTAATAAAACATGTAACCCGAGATGTTCGGGTTCGGGTTCGGGTACCCTCAAATTTCCGGGTACCCGACCCGTGCCCACCCCTAATATTCGTACCACGTTTATTTGTCAATCAACGGATGACATAAGCAAACCTGAAGTCCGTTCCATGGCCAATGGAAAGTTGGCGCGGTTGTCAAAGAACCGTACTTCCTCGTCACGCATTCGGGTGACACACGCAAACCCGAATATATGAGTCACATGATGCCATAACCGTTTGTCAGGGAACGATGGTGCAATCGAAGATCACCACAATCACAAGCACGCATGGGCGGATGTAGAGAAATATTTAGAAGGGGGCACAATCTAATTTTAATATTCTATATGGGGGCATTTAGCAAATATATTTAAAATTTTATAAATTTTATAAAGAAACTTGACATGTTTTTATGAAATGACTGGGGGCACGTGCCCCCATTCCTCTTGTCTTGCGTCCGCCCCTGCAAGCACGTCACTGCGGTATGATAATCGATACGAATCAATTATCATACAGCGGAGACTTCAGTAAATGCAATCACCATTTTATTATTTATTAGCTTACCCGACTACAATCATACGTTTCATAATATCCGGATCCATCTAGTATATTTCTAACGCCATGCAATTCTACCATTTTTAATTTAAATTTTAAATCCCATATATTTACCAATTATAGTATTTCTATTATTGTTATTTATTCTTATTTTGGTTTTCAATAATAATTTGAATTTTATTTATTTATTTATTCATTTATTTATTTATCTATTCATTATTATATCTATTTTTTTATTGTATTTTAAATTTATCTTACAAATTTATAATCACAACAAAAATCGATTTCATATATGACCACATTATAAATAATATACCGGAACGTTATGTTCTATCATGAAGTAATGATAGTTAAATTTGAGAATTTAATTCGAATCAATCGAAAAATTTCCATACAATACTCAAATTCCGAAATCAATAAAAATAAAACTCTCGAATCACATCCAAACCCACTCACCTTGTTAAAATGTGATACTCTTTTGGTGTTGATTTATTTTCTTCTAGTTACTCGGATGACAACCTAAATATGATCATAATCCCATTATTAACCAAACCTACAATATTAGTTAAAAAGGGCATGAGATTTTAATAACTATGGGATGATTTCTCGACTTCAAAATGACTTCATAACCGTTTATATTTAATTTTTAATTTAATGTTCATTGCTAAAATTGTGTTACAACATATATATGGATAGTAAAATAGTCTGAAAGTCATAAGGCGTAAGTGGCTCATTTTCTTGGTTCCAGTCCTTTTGTTCTTTGTTTATAAATGAGTTCTAAATATTTTCTTCTCTTTTCCATGAATTAGAACTCAATTTGTTTTAAAAGTATTTCTTGAACCAAAATGAACAAACATGACAATTTGTAAAGGATCTTAGATATGCATATTTTCGGTTGATTGTTCTTTGGTTTCAAACGAGTTAAAACTAATTCATTTTTCTTAGTTAACATCATAGGACATTAAATGGTATAGGTAAGAAGATAACTTGAAACATGGAGTTATGATAATAGTTCGAAATGTTGAAGTCTAGAACTTAAAAAATCTCACTACACACGTGCTAGAGCGAAAACGAAGGAGATATAGCTTTAAAAACATCTTGAATCTTCCGCAAACGAAGTATAACTTGAAGAAGAAAAAGCATAACATCTTAAGGAAGATGTACATAATTTTTTTTTTATGAATATATATGGCTTATACATGAAACTGTCCCCTTTAACTCTACAGTTCAATCGAATCGTGTCTGTATATAGCTGAACTTTAAGTTCTAGTTTTCAAAATAATTTTTTAGATTTTAAATTATACTAAAACCGACTTTCTTACATTCCAGGTAAAATCTAATATTTGATGTTGTATCTGTAAAGTCTTATTTGAAGATCAAAATCATCGGTTCTTGAGATCTGGATTCCGGAAAGTTTGTATCTATAAGGAATTTGCAATTATTATGTACTCTTTTGCCCTTAATCACTCCCTTTAATTTAAAAAATAAATTAATGAAGATTTCATGAGGACAGCGAGGGTATTGTATTGGGCCTTGGGCCTTAATGTGATAATAAAAAAGTACAAGTTAAATTGATAAATGTTAACGGGTTTGGATCAAATTAAAGGCTGCCCTTTCTCGTTCGCCCGAGGACGATAAAAAGAAGAACAAAGGGACGAAAACCTAATTAGGTTTCACAATGGCGGAGAAGATAATGTCCGCGACGGAGCTCGAGGTGATCCCACCGCCGAAGAAGATTCGGAAAGTGGATGGCGAAGACTGCGACAACTTGGAATCGGAGATGGATTCTGGGGCCGATGAGTTCCTGCCGCCTCCTCTGCCTCCGCCGGCGCCGCCGACGGTTCGGACGGTGGACGACGAAGACATACCCGAAAGCGAAATCTCGGAATACTCATTCTCTTGCACAACGAAATACCACATGTTCGGAAACAGAATATTCCGCAACGACCTTTTGCCAGAGGCAGAGGAAGAGTACGAGCCCCAATTCCAGCGTTTTAGATACCTTTTTCATCGGTCTCAGGTGATATTTTTAAAAATTATGCGTGGAACCTTGTGTTTATATATATATGTCGCAACGTATGGATGAATTTCGTCTTAGATGTGGAGGATTCTCGATTAATCCCAAAATGGGACGGATACCGTTTGGTTGAAATTTAGTTGTTCAACGGATTAATTTCGTGCAGTGTTTATCTGTTAAATGGGATGAACAATGTTGTATGGCCACTTAAACCATGTTTTCCTTTGGTCTTGTGTTTAGGGTTTCGAGATTAACTGGGATGAGTTCGATTTCATGTTTATTTCCCAATCTGTTTCGTGGTGCACAAGCCGTCTGGTGACCAAGATGAGCAATGACGAGCTGATTGAATATTTGACGCGCTATGCCATCGACAAGCACAACAAGGAGTCGGAACCGAAAACGAATCTGGTGTACGTGGGGCCTGTCATGGCTAATTTCTTGTGTGCCGCAGGCTACGTGTTCTTCATAACATTCCGAGCTAGAGATCTGCTGTCTCCGGATCCCGAGCCCAAACTCTATCAGACAAAGGTGCGCAAGTTTGCAGCTTTGATCGATGTTACGATTTTCAGACCACGGCCATCGGATGAAGGTATGGAGTAGTATTCTCCGTCCCATGTGGTGTTAGAATAGAAGTGTTCTGTCTTGTTGCCTAATGTTTTGTTTGAAGATGGTGATGCAGAGATGACTTGTGCCAAAGTGGATCCTCCCGCTCCCGCTCCCGCTCCATGACATGACGGGTGGTTGTTAATTGGCATAACCTTATGTGGGATTATAATGTTGGATATGATATGTTATATATATATATATTATGAAAGATACTTGAGAATTGTCTGAAAACTGCTCTCCAGACGCCTTACCGCATCAGTTTCTATTTAATCTGGTTTTGGGATCTGACGTTTTTGCTGTTAGGTGTTTCTCTCGCTTTTGGTTTCATTGAATTTCTTCTTCTGTCTGCATCGAGCTTGTTGTTTGCTTGACAAGTTCATATCTTTGCGGATTGGTTCTTCCTGGGTTTCTGAGTTGTTCATTTCTCCCTGGGTTTTGTTTAATTAGTCCACCTACTCCTAATCTTTAATTTCTAGGGTTTCAACCTAAATAAAGTTCTGTCTCCGGTTTACATTTATGATGACTCCGTTTGTAATAAACAAAACAAAAAGAAAATCAAATTTAATAAACCGGTTTGAATTTTCGGTTAACTCTAAACCAAAGTTTGGTTTTTAATTTTTTTTGACGTGGCATTACAGAAAAAAGTTTCGCATGTCACGTTGACACATTCGTAATCAGCCACATCAGTTCGAATTGTTTAACATTGCACTCTTAAATAGTTTAGATATTATTTTTGAAAATTTTAAATAATTTAATGTTTTTTACTCTTAAAAAAATTTCAGTTTTTTTTTACATTGAAAATTTCGGTGTTTTTTATTTTTGGGATTTTTCCTATCTTTATCATAAAAAATCATTATATGAAATAAAATAAAATCTAATCTAATATAAAAATAAAATATAGATAGATTTTTTAAAGTTGAATAAGCCAAATCAAAATATACCGAACAGAAAATTAAAATATCCACCCCTATCCATCTGAAATTGTATATCTCATCGCGTGGTATTGAGTAATTGAACTCGGATATTTGCGAGATAATATTCGGCTAATTACAAATACATGAATCCAAATATTTTTAATTATTTTTTAATCAAATATTCAAGAACACTTATATATATATATATATATATTCAAATTCATTCAAAATATATTGATATCCAAATTTTATGCAAAATTCATAAAACATTTACTTCTTAAATCTATCCAATAATAACAATTTATAACCATTAATCAGTTTTTTTATCCAACTTGATCATGCACTCCACTTTGAAGAACTTCTTCTATCCTCAAATGAATAAATCAATTTCATCCTATGAATGACCTTATGACATCACATACAAAAGTAACAAAAGTACCACATAACGGTGGAATAAAACTCATTAATATTCCTGAATTTGTATAACAGTGAAAAAAGTAATTCATATACTTTTAATTTGATAAATTTATTCTAAAATATCCAAATCTTTCAAAATATATCGAATAGATACGTAAACTAATAATTTGACAAATAAACACATTATGTGCTGTATTGTTATGCCAATAAAATATATGAACTCGTTAAATCAATAACAAATTATCCAACTGAACTTAATGGCATGAAATATTTCCATTCATCGTAGAATGATATGGGATGACACGTCAACAATCGTTAAGAGTTTAAAGCCGACCGGTTTAATCGGTCCGACCCGATCAACACCAGGAACAAGATGTTCTTATTGGGCCTTAGGCCGATACTCAGTCGTCTACAATCAGCACTTCTCGTTGTGTCATTCTAATGGCAGGATGATCCACAAGCAAAATTGAATACTCCTTTATTGATCGTTGAATATGAATGGTTTATGTTTTGTTTGATGTTATCAGCATATACATACATGGCAATGGCGCAATAGCTCAGTCTGTTTGTGGTTGGTTCTAACAGAATCCGTTTGGGCAATTTGTTACATTTCTGTTACTCTAATTTCCCTGTAAATTCCCGTTTACATTTTCATTTCAAATGTTTGTTGTATTTGGAATTTCTTAGTTCATTTAGCTTGTATAAAAGGATGTGTACAGGAACATTTTTTAATAAGAGAACAGAGGAAAAAATGAATGCGAATACCGAGAACTTTTAGAAAAGATTTTCTATTCTCTTATTAAAAAATGTTCCTGTACACATCCTTTTATACAAGCTAAATGAACTAAGAAATTCCAAATACAACAAACATTTGAAATGAAAATGTAAACGGGAATTTACAGGGAAATTAGAGTAACAGAAATGTAACAAATTGCCCAAACGGATTCTGTTAGAATCAACCACAAACAGACTGAGCTATTGCGCCATTGCCATGTATGTATATGCTGAGACATTCGACTGGTTATATTACAATAGACGATATAAAAAGATTCCAAATTCATATCAAAATATGTATTTAATATACTTGTATCAACTATATGAGAATATAATCAGTAGGTAAAGAAATATATCACCAAAGGAAGAAAAAAATTGCCAAAGAAACTGGACTGCACTTTAGAAGCAGAGTAAGTTTGTATCCAAAGTACCAAAAAAACGAGTAACAACCCAAAATAATACCAAGTATGTATCTAGAATCATATGGTTGTTACCGAAACAACTCTCTCATCTTCTAACTAGTTATCACTCCTTTGGGTAGTCTTTCTTTTCTGGGAAATGAAACGATTTGAACACTGAGCGTTGTCCTTGTACCGTCCGGCGAGCAATCCGGCCAAATCCTTGATTTCCCCACTGTTTTCCCCACGAGCATGCGACAAGCCAATACGCTTGGCCATTTTCGACGCCGAACCCCACGATAACTACAGCATGAGTGCCACGGTTTGGGGTGCTTCCAGATCCTCGATACAATCCCTAATATATTCAAATAGTTAGAAAAGGAGAAAAAGAAATCTATTTTTGAAAATGTATATATATATACTCACAGTAGTATAATCTTGGAGTTCATCCGTGAGGTCTAAAATACCGACAATTGGCTGTCTTCTTACTAGTAGAAGAAGCTCGGTGTCATCAACATTGTGCACCGTAACAAAGTTATCAACCGTGGTTCGATTAAACTACAAAAGGGAGACACGTCATTAGTTGTTATTCATAATTTGTATATTAAATTAGATCTAAATAATAATTTGAAATATTAAAATTACTTACATTCGTGTTGTGTTTGCAGACGAATTTTTTGCCGACGAATTTGCATTTCTCTTCTTGAATCAAACCATGTTTGATAACATGATCAAAAGCCCTCTTGCAATTCAAAATTCCGGTTTTTTCATACGGTACCTCATTCACCAGATGTTGAATCGAGAAATACTTCCGCAGATAGAGGGTTTGGCCTATGTTATAAAGCGCTTCTACGACCCTCACTATTGCGAACGCCCAGCATACCGCTATAAAATACAAAATAAAACTGTGATGTCCGTATAAAAATAATTACGAACAATCCAAAATCTAAAAAGACAATAGAAGTTAATTAGACAAATATGGTTCATGCAGGTCTTTACTATATTTACATTTATCTTTTTTCTCATTTAAAAAAAATAGAAAAGAAATTGTCATGCTGACCTTCCTCGCCTTGATCGATTATGTCGCCAACAATTCCATAGTGACTCCTCCAATCCCATTTCTGATAGAGAAAAAACAAGTGTAAGACATAACTGATATAAAAAAAAATGTAAAAACTGTGTAGTATACCTCCTCCTCGTCGTCGTCGTCGCCAGACCCCGTCCCTCCTTGTCCTTTGTCTTTACCCTAATTAAAATAATTAACAAAAAAAATAAATGTCATCCAATCGATTACGTAACAATTAAAAAAACTTTATGTACGTATTTTTTTTTTTTAAACAAACTAAGATATACCGAAGAATGGCCTTGTGGGTTGGGATTGCCTCCTTCCTTTGCCGGTTTTTGGGCGTCCTTCTCCTGAACCACATGACAAATATGGGTAACATATGAGAAATTGTTTTATCTAGACACTAGAGAAGAGAAGAAACGTGCCTTGTCTTTTCCACTTTCTTGCTTCTTCTTTTTTCCTCCGGTTCCATCTGTCGTCTGTGAAAATATTAAGCCGAAAAATTAAAAGAATAAAATCTCATATATATAGGAAAAAACATAAGATAGATATAAACTAAATTAAGAATCAGAAATGAAAGTTCAAAAGAAGGAAAACAGAAACCTGCTTGAACGCACAGACCAGTTGTGTTTTCCCATGTCTAAAACAAGAACCCAGAGATGAAATTTCGGGTCAGTTAATCTTTTATATATTCAGATATTTCTTCCCAATTGTAAATGCTCCCACACATATGTGACTCACCTGGTTAACAACGCCAGTAGGTAACTTCCACACATTCGTCCCTCTGAAATGGCCACCAGTCTCCTGAACCACGAGCACCTGCACACGGCAAAAAATTCATCAGGGTTCCATTAATCGGTGACAAACGAGCGTCAAGGAGAAAACTTTGGTTCCTGGTACTAAACATCTTGTCACCCTAAGGGAAGGAAAATGTAGTTAACCGAAGAATATTTCCATTAAAAAAGTAAAATTATTATTTGGTTTCAAAACTTAAATTCTGATTATTTTTAGAATATCATATATATAATGTGTTATTTTTAGGTTATTTTATCGAATTTTCTATGCAGATTCCATTTTGTCCATGTATTATGTGAATTAATTGAAGCAATTTGAGTTTCTTTAATGTGAATCATTTTTTATTTTAAAAAATATTTCCCAAATATTACATTTTGTACGTGTCTTCATTTGAAAACTTGCTACGAAGACATATATATGTCAAGAACTTGCAATGCTCAACCCAGGCATAGGATAGAACACCCACGCGATGATTGAGGCGAGTAAATTCTTGACGAGCTGAACATAGTTTTGCAAGTCCAACTATTTACTACTTACTAGAAGAACTCTGCTAGACGCAATGAGCATGACGCAACATGATAAATCTTTGCAACAAAATGAGAAAACTGCGTAGAACTATGAGATTTTCATGATCTTAAAGGAAGGAAAAATCAAAACTCCAAGTTTAGTAGCTTACCTACTGTTACCAAATTTCTCAAAGAGCTCGTAGTATCGCTGTGATTCAATCGGATTATCCTGAAAAATGAAAAACGTAATGTTACTGCAAGAATAATAAATGTAGGAAGCGGATACCAGATGCATTCCTCACATTAATGTAAGTCTTATTGGTGCTTCCAAGATCCATTATGTAAGGCCTGAACAGTAACCAAAAACGAGTTCGTATCTCAATTGCTATTAGAAAAAATTAGAAAAGAGCGTCTGATTACCAAGTTATCATAAGGGAACAACAAAGAGCGTCGGATTACCAAGTTATCACAAGGGAACAACAACCTGACTTGCTTCGACATCGTACCATCTGCTTCTTCTTTTTCCACTAGCCTGAGATCAGTAGAGTAACTAAATCCTTTTCCCAGGAAATTTTATACTTATGAAATGGTCACTCGAAATCAAAACTGCTCATCAGTAACCTACCGGAACTGTATAACTGCATGCTGCTTGCTGCGAGATGGGTGATCGGTAGGAATATCTGCGATCCTTCTCTCACGACCAAAGAGGTAGAGTGGCTCTGTAAACCCAACAAATTTGACATGCATAAACTTCTTAAATCAAGGAAATCGATACATGACTCTAGAATTAGAAGCAAATGACATTTCATAAAAAAAACGGAGAAAGAAACCTTTCATTGAACAGCTAGTATAAACTGTGTGAACTAAGTCTGAGACAAGAGCCGGCTTAATTTAATTGCAAAAAAAGAGTGCTTTATTTATTACAAAATTTTAAACAAATAGAATCAAATTGTAAGTATATATATATATATATATATATATTCAATTTAGAATTTTTCTTTTTTATTTTCTAAACTTCCGCTGGCACATATGGGGGCAATGTTTCCTTCTCCAGTTGCCCATGTTAGTACTATGTCTCGTACTATGTGTGTGAGAGAGAATATACATTTTTAGCATATTTGATTTTTTGTAATTCTAATTCACCTTTTTGTCTTTTTTTTTTTGTAACAGAAAGTGAACTTCTTTTTTCTATCATGTACTATATATAGTTTATATATATATATATATATATATATATATAGACGCATACTATTATTATATGTATATACTGGTAGTATATATATAGTTTTAATCATCTACTTTTGTGAACAAAACTACTTCCAATTTTAAATATAAAAATATGCTTCTAATTCTTTCTGTTTATATAAAACTCCATAAATTATTTTTTTATGGTTTCAATATTCCGCAATTTCATCGTCATAAAGAAAACGAAGAAGGTGGCATGAGGAAGAAAAACATTGAAATTATTTAAACAATTACTTAGAAACAATAAATACAAGAGAATAATTCTTGTGATTTTGAATTTCATCTCATATAATCATTTCTTTTTCAAACATGACATTTTTGTAGAGTTATATAAAGATCGAAAATAGAAAATTTATTGAGCACAATGTAAATTTGCTGAAAATAGAAGATTTGTGTGTCTTTGTATATAAAAAACTTAAAACATAACAAAGATTTTAAAATTAGAAAAGGTTCTTTGAAAAAAAAAAAATACACTGTGTTATTTTGATTATTTAAATTATTTTTTTAGTTTATTTTACCAAAATTTCCAGTTTTTAGCCTTATAATGTAAATATCTCAGAATCACTACATTCTGTAGTCATTGGTTCTCGTGTTGGAGATGCAGAGACATAGGATGTAGGATAGTGCTATTTCTATGCAGACACATATAATTAATGTCAACAATAATAGTAATTTCAACCGCTAAAGAGGAGAAGCCCTAACCATGGAGACGGCGTTTTCCAAACGTTTTGAGGTACGCCTACCAAATAACCAGTCGGTACATTGCTGGTTCAACCAGGTTTACCAATTTCGGTATGATCCCCTGGGCCCCACAAGGATGCACATTGAGAACGTAATATTGGTCCGGTTAATGAGGGCTTTTAAGTCCATAACATCAAATACTATTTGTTATGTATATATCTATATATATAATCATCTACTGAAAAATAATTGAACTGAAGATTATTCTCCGCGATTAAGTATCGATTTTATTTTATTTGTAAGGAGAGAAATGCTCGAGTTTATATTCATATCCAATAGTTATAGAAATTATAATAAATAAAGAAATTTATGATTAAATTGAAAATTATATTATTATTGTTATTGTTATTATTATGAAACGATGTAGAAGCTATATTAAGGTAGATGTATTATTGAAACCCATTTTGGAAAAATTCATCATTGAGTATATAATAGTTTTATTATATGTAATCAAGAAATAGAAAATCCAATCTATTCAAACCCTTTGAATATTGGTTATTGGTTGTGTCATGTCATGCAGAAATCTATTAAACTTATTTTGTTGAGGTTTTCTCAATGAACATGGAAATAGTTATCAACTTTTGTAAATCAGACATATACAAATATACGCTTATACCATTAGTAACTATTATGTTTATATATTTACACTATCATATATTACCTACCTTGAGCACGTTTAAAATTTCTTGATCATTGCCTCATCATCCCCTGTTTGGTTGCTTAATCTTGCACGTTAACATCTTAGTTCGAAGCACGAATTTGATTCACTCGTTTCGC